AACATAGGGAAAAAACATAATCTCTTAGGAAAGTAGGAATTAAACAGCCATGCTAGTATTTTTATGCAGCTAGTTTTAATTCTATGAATGACTTAAAAAGAAGGATTGTTTAATCTTCAAATGAAGTTCAACCCCAGAAATCAGAATGTGTTTATGATGTGTGAGTGCAACAAATCCAATAACTGTTATTAGTTGTGTCAGATAGGGTGGCTGTAGATATTTTAGGAACATTTAAATAAAAATTTAATAGAAGTAGTGAGCCTTCTGTAAAACATAATTGCTTTATTTATTTTGGAAAGACAAGTTAATGTTTACAGCTCAATTGCCTTCATATTGTACAATGAATGAAGAGGGTTAATCAATGAACTTTAGCCTAGGATTAGGATTAAGGTCTAGGTTTCAGTTCAAACAGAACTGAAAATTCTTTCAAATTCCTACTTGCTTATCACAATATTTCTCCAGCTATATCAGTTTCCTGGCCAAAAAAAAACCTATTTTTTCATTTACTATAATGATGAATATTAGGCTATAATGGCACCATGGGCATCTGATAATAACACAAATCTACATATCTATACTGAAGCAGAAGCCAGGTCATCCATCAGGTTTACAATAAACGTTTAAGAAATTTAACACATAATACATGGCAATATTATGAAGCCAGTGGAAAACTTTAACTATGTGACTGAGAAAGATAAATACAGAGAATAATATGAGAAAGAAAGAACACATCCAAGATATGAAATTGACAACACATTGCATTATATCTCTACTTCTATTTGTTTAAAACACTTTTTTTCACAAATATGGCTATCTAAACATTAATGTCTAATCTTGGCTGCAAGGTACTATAAAACCATAAACCTGGTTTAAACTATGCCAGAAAACTATCATGCTAGCAATGCTAACATCTCTTTCTCTGTTCTGAAAGAGATGGAAGTTGCAATCTCAAAAGTAATGAGAAGGAGTTAATATACAGAATAGAATACAGAATAATAGAGTTGGAAGGGACCTTGGAGGTCTTCTAGTCCAACCCCCTGCTCAAGCAGGAGACTATACAATTTCAGACAAGTGACTGTCCAGTCTCTTCTTAAAAGCCTCCAGTGATGAAGCACCGACAAGCTGAAGACAAGCCGTTCCACTGCTTAATTGTTCTCACTGTTCATACTGGAGCACAGAACAATTTGTTTTCAGAGAAAAAACATTAGGATCAAACTGTAAGAGGAAATTATCACCATACCACCCCTAAAAGGCTACAGATTTGAAAAAAATATATCCATGTTACAAATTTTAAAAGATGCATAGATACTTAAGTTTAACTGTGAAGTTGAATAACATCAGAGTATGATGAGACTTTTAAATATGCAAAGCTTCTATTTCTGTATGTTTAACTTGAAAAGCATCCAGTTTACACAAGGCAAAGTTCTTTTAAATATAATCTGAAATCAAACAAAGATATACTCTCAGACCTCAGTTTAGCACATTTAACTCAGACAAATATTGCACCAAACTAGTTTTGCTTTTGAGACTCCAGGCTAGTTATTCTAGCAAGCAAAATGAATCCATAAATCAAGACCACAAGAGTATTTAAAAAAAGAAAGATCAAGCCTCTGCAAAAATGAACAACATATCTTTTTAAAAAGTACAGAAAATTAATTATTGCTCTGCTTTAAATGTTGAATTCCAGCTGAGCATAAGACAATATAGCTTATCTGCTATGTTATCTAAATCACTGTGGCCCAAGGTCTTATTTTGAAGCAGGTTTTTTTTCCCCAAATCTGGAAAAAAGGCTTTCAGTTATAGTTAGTATTTGTAATGCTTGCTGTGAAATCCACCAATATCGGGGATGATGTGGACAAGAGGGAAAATAAACTTTTGAGATAAAATGGAAAAACAATAAAACAAGAAAGCCAGTAAACACTTAAGATAAGACTCCATGAAGGTTAGAATGACTTTTGTTAGAAACATCATTTTATTGACTTAACTTGATAATGTGCAAAGAAAGGCTACATTTTCAGGCAGGAGAGTCACCTTTGGCTTCTCAGCAGCATGCCAAAGATTGAACTCCAGAAAAGAAGCAAGGTCAAGAGAAAGAAAGGGATGGAATGGCAACAAGAGTTCATGTTAATTGAATTAATTGTAATTACACAAATTAAAAACAATTAATAGGCTTACTTTTCAGATATTGTACAATCAGGCACATCCACAGAGGTCAAAAAATTAAGATGTTGGCCATGAACAGGTAATCAAAACCCTACCCTTTTCATAAGTATTGCAATGCATATAAAAAGGGTAGTACTTCAACTGCATGCTTGCAGCTGCTGTCTTGACTTTTTGACTTCTCTTGTAGATACCCTGTCTATAATTTCTCTACAAGTTTTAACAATTATAAATTACTAATTCTTCTTCAAAGAAAAGCCAACCTTTTGGAGGAGCTGAAGCTCAATTGTACGTGTGTACATGTATGTATATGTAGATATATACATGGGTGTAGTTATGTGTGTGTGCACACACGCGCGCACACACACTGACACTCACACATATATTTTATATTTTTATATGTATATGTATATATGTGTGTGTGTGTGTGTGTGTGTGTGTGTGTGTGTGTGTGTGTGTGTATATATATATATATATATATATATATATATATATATATATATATAATATTTGGTTTATGAGAATGGATCAAGCTAAAACAATCTTTCCAATCTTACTACCCTCTAGATCAGGGCTGTCAAACTCCCAGACTGCAGGCCGGATGTGTCACGCACCGGCCACGCCCATGCCCGGTTTAGCGAAGGGAGAAAAAGTCCTGATTCGTCACATGATGCCACTGTGACAATATGAGTTTGACACCCCTGCTCTAGATAAATAGGGTAACAACTGTGTGACTGCAATTCAATATGCTTGAAAGACATCAGGAAATCTAAACAAAAAGAAGTTGGAAACAGGTATCTATTAGAGATACAAATGATTTCGACCCTTGATTTCTTGTAACATTGAACCTTCCAGCAGATTCTTGTCATTTTTTTTTTTTTCTGGTGAAAATTAGTGCTTAAATTTCACTTTACTTATTGATAATATACCCATTTTTTTCAGATGCTAATCCGCACAACTCCATTAGTTTCAAATGCAGTAAGCCAGACCTTCCATATTTACAGCCGTCCTTTTTTTATTTTGGACACAGGGCAACATCTTGTTCAGTTCACATTAGTGGATAGATCATTAAATGTCATATCACATGGTAGAGGATTGAGGTCACATGCTGCATAGCACTTCAAACAGAGGCATTCAACACAACACTTTAAAGATTCAAGGCACAAGCCATCATTATTTGCCCAAATAACCTTTCCGTGTACCAGTTGAAATCAAAGAAAAGCCAACCTGAATGATAGCTACAGACAGTACAACTTTTCTAGGTCCAAGAGCTAAAATGGTCTTTGACTGGCATGCTACTGGTTGTACTTCCCAAAAAGAGAACATGGGATGGATAAGGTCAGAACAAAATCTATGTATGTAATTAACAATTATTTAATTATAAGCATTAATATTTTTTAATTTGTAGAAACTTTAAGGTCATAGTCAATTCAGTGGGGCAGTGGTTCTCAACCATTTCTTCACCACGGACCTTCTTTAAATATCTTTTGTGGCCACAGACCAAGACCATGAACCCCCAAGACTTAACTCAAGATTTAAATCATAACATTTCTTCAATCCTTTATGGTCCCCCTCTGATGACATCGCAGCCCCCCCAGGAGTCCGCGGGTCACAGGTTTAGAACATTTGTCCACAGAATGTTAAATCATGGAATGATCAACTCAATTGACTATGTCCTATACAATATGTATCTGTATGTGTGTTTGATGTATTTTTAATCATTGGTCTTTAACTGTAAACAAACAATGGGAATCATGAGCATGTGATAGAAGGCATCATCCATAGATAATTCTGATATATATGAATCATTAAGAAAATGGCCAGTAGTTGCAGAACCAAGTTTAGAAACCTTTTTACACATATTTATTCATGAGTTCTCCTTTCTTCTTAGGCTTTCTTTTATTGACAAATTTACTTAGAGAAAAATGTTGTTAAGTCAACAGGAATGATGGAATGCTTGCTGATGTTACTGTAGGTCTCCTGTAAGTATATCAAAAGATTCCAATCTACATTTTGCCAATAGTGTTTGTGATGGACACAATAAACACTTTGGACTGTACTTAAATTCTGGGAAGTTGACTCATAGACTTTGGGTCGCAGCCTGTCCCATTTTATAGGAATTCCATGAAAGTAGAAAAGAAAGCATATAAACTGAAAATTGTTTTAGAATATGTGGTCAGGATTGTGTATATTGTTAACAGAAGCTGTCTTCATCACACCTGTTCTTGATTTAAATGCCTAAATTGAAGTAATGACTTACACTATGAAGCAATCTGTATAATGTGATTCTATAGATTTCATTTGTGGTTCATGACCAAATCAGAAATATGAAGCTACTGTCATAATGACAGATAATGCTTTGAACCTTTTTAAGTAGCATCTCTGTAAGTGATGCTGATCTCTTCCCTACCTGCTATTTTTCTGCTTGCAACTTTTTTTCCCCATCCAGCAAATTTCTCCTACCAGATCAACAGTATTGAGGGGTGGGGGCAATGAAGGACAAGAGTCAGAATGTCCAACATGCACTGCATCTCACTTCTATTTTTAGGAAATTGGTACAACCTTAGTCTGACACAGTGACCTCTTGACATTATGTTAAATTTGACTTCAAATCCTTGGAGTTCTTATGAAAATCATGAGAGTTAGTAACTTCTTTGTTGATTGAAAAGTTGCATATAAAGATAAGAAACCTGATCTGTAGGGCCCACCTTTTATGGGTCAGCAGTGTGGGACAACAAACATCAAAGTCTCCAGCATATATATCAACTTGCAAAAGAACATACTCTCATTGAATAATCAGTGTTCTAGTGCTTTTTAAACCACCAGCTACAGAATGCATATTGAAACTGAATTTCAGTATTTTATTTTTATGTACATTTCAATATTTTTCACCTGGAAAGAAAAAGTCTAAATACAGACAGACTGTAAATGTTGTAAGTGTATAGCTCTCAACAATAATTTAGCTGAATATATGCTTTGTACAGAATGCTGTCTTCTTAAATGGAGTTTACAGCTACATTGATAAAATGGATTCCTCATTTCCTTGTTTTGTTTTTAACCTATAATAAGCAGAAGAAAGAGAGGAGAGAGAAAGAGACAATTACAAGTTAATATTAATTAGCAGCTGAAATAACACTGGTTAAACTATGTACAATACAAACCATTCATACAAATGAGGACTAGGATATTGAATTTGTTACAATATTGTGTAATAAAGATAAGACAGACATTTACAACTTACAGGTTGCCTTTCAGGCATTTTTCTTTCCTACATGGTGACTGTAGGACTTCTCAGTTGGGGATGACTGCCAAGTTGAACCTATCTGTCTGAAGTGATGACTATCAGGACGCAAAAAATCATCAGGTCTGTTAACATGTAAATTCCAAATGTTTGCTCATCTTTATTTGTTCAATAGGCCCCCCCTGCAGAATAAGAGCCACCTAACATCACCTTGAATGTGCCCACAGTGTGCTGGAGAAAAGTCACTATCCTAAATTGTGTTCATATCAAGAGAACTACTGAACTCTAAACACACACATATCCCCTGCCACCCACCCCCATCCCAGTTTTGAACAAGCAATTACTCCTACACAGTAATATTTACCAGTACAGCTACTTCAAGTGAAGGAATGCATGAATGGGGATTACTGATTATCATGTATTCAAGACTTAGATTTCCATAACATTGGTTATTTCCATAACCATTCTTTAGCTAATTAATCTGTTTTGCTTGATGACAGATGATCCTGAACATGTCAGACGATGAAAGTCATCTTAAGAGGTACCTCTGTAGATGCAAAGAGGAAGAAGGAAAGAGAAAGAGAAACCATATGTGGCATCATTTAAAATAGTGATTTACAACTGGACTGATATGTAATGGAGCTGACTGGGCAGAAATGATTAGATTGGCTTCCGTTAACATATTTGCAGCCAGTTGATATCAGCAGCAAAATGTAGACACATTCTGGGCAAAAGTTGTGGCCTTCTTCTTTGAGGTAATAGCCCTGTCATATGACCTCTTTTATTTGATTTGATTTATTTTATTCCTTGGGATCCTCAGTCTTAGATGTATGGTCTGCTTCAACCCGAAGGGAAGTATGGCGTGTCGCTATGGTAGTTGTAATCTGGGCATACTTTCTGTACTAGTTTATAATCTGTACTATAAAAGGAAATGTAAATACAGATTACTTTAAAGGGCTTGGAGCAGAGCCATGAGACGTGACTTTGGGTTTGCTCCTGGTAACATGTTTTAGAAGGATCATAGTTGCAGAGCGTGTTCTTGGTGGCTTTGTCAACCTTTTCATACTCAATGCGGCAGTTGAAGGACTTGGAATCTTTGGCATCAATCACTGTTTGTTGTGCCAAGTCAAATTCTACTATTTTGGTTGGGGGCACCAAGCTCACTGATACATTCCCTTGGCCGGTTGAATTATGCCTAAAGTAAACACTGAATGTCCCGTTGCCATGATCAACTATTTTCCCAGTTATCAGTAGGTTTAGCTTGACTGTCTTGATATTGGAATGAAAATCGCCCCAGCCAAACATTTTCTTAAACTTCCCAGTCTTGACAATGGGCCGTCGCTTTGCTCTGGATCGAGGCTCTTGAAGATCCGTGGAGTTCCTCAGCCACTCCCATAAATCTTGCTCCGAATAAGTTTCGGGAGCATCATACCGCATACTCAAATCTGTTTCATTTTCTTTTCTGCGAAAAGTCTGTGACAGCAGCCGGCTGATTGATAAGTCTTTGCTGCTTTCTGTCCATATATGCTTTAGTATGGATTTGGAACTGCCTGCTTTTAGAAGTTCTGATTTGCCACCACTGCTTAAATTTGCACAGGTGACCTGAAAAATCAAGAACAAAAAGACACTTAGAATCATTAAAACATATTCTGTTCCCTTCCAAATCTGCTGAACTGCAGGTCTAAGAGTAGTTCAAATGCTGTTACAGATAGTCCTTGACTTATGACTGTTTATTTAATGATGGTTCATATGATAGCCTTGGGAAAAGTGACTTATGACCCAGCCTTGAAGTTACAATTGTTACACCATCCACATTTATGGTCACAAGATCACAATTTGGGCGCTTGGCAACCAGTTTGCATTTACAACAGCTGCAGCAGCTTGTGTTTTATGTAATCATGATTTGCAATCTTCCCAGCTGGCTTCTGACAAGTAAAGTCAATTGGGGAAGCCAGATTTGCTGAATGACCATGTGAGCCACTTAATGACCACATGATTTGCTTAATAATTACATATATTCACTTAATGACCACAGTAAAATAATCATAAAATTGGGTCCAGGTCATTTAATGACCACATCACTTATTGAAATTATGTCCCCAATAGTAGTCATAAGCCAGTGACTACCTGTATAAAATATACTATCAATATTCAAAGGTCTGCCTATCAAAGGGGGGAGGGTCAGTCTCTTTAACAATTTTTAAAATTTTACTAAACCTTATTTCTTTAGGAAAGCATTCTGATAATTATTTCTGCTTCAGCTGCCTCCCTCTTGACTACTAGCTATAGCTTAAATCAGGGTTCTCCAACCTTGGCAACTTTAAGCCTGGTGGGCTTCAACTCCTAGAATTCCCCAGCCAGCTTTGCTATGGCTGGGAAATTCTTAGGCTCAATTTAGGCTGAGAAAACTTTTTTTTTAATGCCTGAAACTAATGCAAATAACACTGTCAAGCAATTTATCTTCATAGCAGCCATTCAGTTCATCTTTGAGTACTTATACCAGCATCTTTTGTTGGAACTTACAGAATTGGCAAATCCATATGTCATAAAGTCAAAACAGAAGTATTCCTTCTACTTCCTGGAGGAGAGAAAGCAAGGCACAAGTCTCAGGTTCATTCACAACCATCTTAACCAACCTTCTCTATTATGATTCAAAATACTGGGTGTTGTAGTTTCCAACATCTGCAGAACACCAGGTTAGAAAAGATTGGCTTCAGCGTGATCATCTGCACCTGTCTCATTTTGTTCATATAGCAAACTTTTTTGTTTGGGGACTGCAACGTTCTATGATAGATCATAAATTAGTCCATTACTTGTGCTAATGAATTCATACGTCATGCTGAACTGTAATTATGTGAGTGCAACTCACATGCTTGTAACCTATAGTTTATATAAGCTATGTCTTAGTATGATGTGTGAACTGAATTGTAGTCTTTGTATGAGTTCATGCTATGCAATCTTTGCTACATTGTTTACCAAATTGTTTCTTCCATTTATAATTAGTAAGATTAGTAGTACCATTTTCCACAAAGAATCAGAAGATTGTTACAGTTGAAGAAGATGATAATTTGACAACTGGTCACAAAAAAGCAGTGTTATTTATTTATGAAACATGATTTATTCATTCCAGTTATGTACTGATGTGAATAATATACCTAAGCAAGTCTTACTATTAAAAATCCGTTGTTTATTCCTAATTTCAAAATGTAAAAGTAATATTTTAACATGGCAATATACAAATAATAGTAATGCTGGGTAGCAACAATATTCTGCCCTCTTTTCCATATTCCATCCATATTCATTTTGTTTGATGAAAGAAAATTTGGTTCTGAGGAGAAGAGCATTTGAGGAAAATTCTCCTGGTATTCTTATAGTTACTTATTTAGTTATGAGGTTATGATGTTTGTTACATTGCATTTCAATTAACTCTTAAGGGCAGACATATTGGAAACTTCTCTTATTCTTAGTGGGAATATAAATCTGAAATGTGGAATCTCATTATACTGATAGCATTAACTCCTGTTGCTCCAATGTGTCCTTACTGGCCAAAATAAACAGGTCATTTGTGCCCAGTTCTATCTGACTATATCTTGCTCATTTGGAAGCTAATGACATTAATGGCATTGATAACACTTTTACTGCTTATTGTATTTTTGCCTATTGCAAAATAGGAAGAGTAGCTATCAAACAGGATTCATCCCATTGAACCGTAAAAATTAGAAAAATCCTTTATTCTGCTCTTTGTAGCCCATACTGTATCTGTTCTTGGACATATCCAGTCAATTCACAGCACCAAATGTAACCAATACATCAGACAGTGTTGGATCAGAAATCTTGAATTAACATACTTAACTAGAGCAGTCTACCCCAATATATTTCTAGCTGGATCAGCTTTCTAATATAACACTTAAAATATATAACTTTGCACCACCCAGGGTTTTTTTTTACTTTTCCCTTTATATCTTTTTCTTCATTAAATATTTACTAATGTTATTTCTTTATCTTTTGAAAAGATTCTGTTGACTTATGTGCCTAGATAGTTCAGAAAGATTTACTCTATTTCTCTCACCTTGCCTAAGGAATAGTGAGCAGAAATAAACTGAAATGTCATGCATTCCCTTTCTAGAACTGGATAAAAAGAAATGATGCAAGATTGCCTTGGCATTTAAATAGTGTATCTACTAGTCAACCTTATAAGAACATTTTGGAATAAACAATAAGGGGCTTTTCTCTTCCATTGCACTGATAAATCTTGGAATAACAGTTTCTGATTTATCAACCTTTCCCATCACCTTGATTGCACACAAAACCTAATGGCCAAAAATAATTTCAAAAATTCCTGCCTAAATATCTTATATAAGTCAAGAAAGAGATATTTTCTTTACTGGCAGTCACTCAACTTATACGCTGGCAGTCCCTCCGAAAGCAGAGACCTTGCTCTCAAAAGGAAATGTGAAGGGCTACCTAAAACAAATAAAGACAAATAAAGCCTTACAGCATATTTTTAAAAATGCAACTACTGGTCAATATATGCTACTGAAGCATATTTTTTAATGTGCTGGAGAAGTAGGTAGATGGAAAGTGACAAATATCGCCATGTTTGCTTGCACCTGAGATGATTTAGCCAATATTTCCCTCTTTTTAATAGCAAGGATAACAAAATATACCTAGCTTCTGAGAGTTGTTTTGTATCCATATCTGAGATCAGCAGAGTAACTGAGGAGAGAGGTTGTAACAAAACACACTGAAGGTGTGTCAGTTAACAGAGCAAAGCAGCGACAAAGATGTCACAGAAAAGGAGAAAAGGAATATAATTCTTAAGCAGCATTTTGAGAGCAGGAGCAAGTGAGAAGAAATGGGGCTGAAAAAAAATATATGCCAATTTGGTATGGAAGAAAAGCTGAGACATGTTTACTAGCTCATTTCCCCATCTTCAATCACAGAAAGGATAGGAGGTCCTAGAGATGATTCCACTTCATTCAGCTACTTTCAAAAATGCCTGCTCTATCTTTGTCTCCCATTTCAGATTAAAATTTGCTTATATATGTAGTATGCACCATGGGATTAACCCACAAATTGTCTCTGTAATTTGATGTGGAACTCAAAAGTTCATTTGAAATAGAAGCACTGGCTCATTTTAGCCTTTATGAAATCCAAAATGAAAGGTTTTTTTTAAAAACAACAACAACTGGCTGATAATGATACAGTCTGCCGGTCCTGTTAACAGTAGCCTCTTGCATTGCAATGGTTCTTCATAATGTTTAATTATATGAAATGTGAAGGCTTTATATTGTGTGCTCTCCTGCCCTCTCTGCTTGATTTCATCAGATATCACATGGCAAGCGTAGAAATGCAAAGTGCTATGAAGTCATGCCAATTGATTTGCAATGTTGTATTTACCTCCAACATTTACTCCATTAAAATAAATAGAAACTTCTGACATGCCTATTCTCATATTTAATATTGCTGATGTTTCCATTGTGTCTGTTAAATGTTATGTTCAATTGCTTTGCAAAAACTAATCTTGTTCTTGCAATGGTTGTTGAAGCTAAGGTTGGGCTTGTAGTTTAATTTAAAGATAAATTAGAGAAGCAAAACATTACAACCATGAAACTATAATCAACAGTAAAACTCATTGTCTATATCATATAATTCAGAGACTATGGCAAATGGAATACATAAAACTTACTCTTTATGCATTCAATTTAGTTGCATAAATATATACATTCTATAAATGAAGACATCTTCCCCTTCTCCCTCCACTTCAGAGGTGGGTTTCAGCAGGTTCTGACCAGTTCTGGAGAACTGATAGTGGAAATTTTGAGTAGTTTGGAGAACCAGTAATAAAAATTCTGACTGGCCTCATCCCCATCTATTGTCTGCCTCCCAAGTCCCAGCTGATCGGGAGGAAATGGGGATTTTGCAGTAACTTTCCCCTGGATTGGGGAAGGAATGGAGATTCCCACCAAGCCACGCCCACCAAGTCATGCCACGCCCACCAAGCCATATCCACAGAACCGGTAGTAAAAAAATTTGAAACCCACCACTGCTCCACTTCTGTTAGAAAGTTACTAAGGCCAGGAGCTCTGTCTCTTGGATTGTCCTCCAACTGGTAGGCTGATGATACCCAACTTTCCATCTTTTCCCCCACCACAGTCCAAAGAAGTTGTTCAAATTAGAAATTGGTGTCATTAACGGATGACAATGATGTTGTTTAATGATGTGGTGTTTAAACTAAGCTACTACAGGCTAAGCCCAAGGATTGTCTGTTTGTTTCCTAGAATTGCTAGATATAATCATGATGGCATGCAACTTACATAAAATGTACTTTGTGTGAAACTAGGAAAACTTCAGCTGGTCCAAAATGATGAGGCAAGATCTCTGACCAAGCTATAACAAGGAGCATGTGTGGTTTCCTTGTTACAAATTCAATGGATAAAAGTCTGCTTTAGAACACAGTGGATAGTGCTGATTAAGAGCAGCAAAGTTCATGAGACAAATCTGTCTTGGGGGGGGGAATCACATTGTCCTACATAAAGCTGCCCAGCTTTTAAGATCCTTGGGAGCAGTGCATCACTCTCTCCTGCTATTATCACAGCTTA